TATTTTCCCTCCTGATTCAAAACTTGACACGCACTGGCCAGGTCCCGCAGGAGTACAGACCTTTACATTAGACAAGGGCTCAAATGTTGACCCCAGTATATAGTTATGATGTCATGGGTTTTAATAATGAGGCTGTGTGAAACTGCCGCTTATTTCCTTTGTGTTTTGGTTACATCAATCTCAAGTTTCTTGCCTTTCCAAGTTCTGGTAGTACAAAAACATTCGTATTTGCTCATTTAAAGTCTCCGATGTCATCGGAAATATGTCATGTGATATTTGACGCTTTAATCTGTTGTTTCATTTTGTTTTTGTAGAGAATGTAGCACCTATGCACAGCATATCCAGTGGCCGCAAGGAGACCATTAACCCTGGAGACATGGTTCAGGATGCAATCCACAACTTCTCTCCAGCTTACCAACAGTACACACAGCAGTCCACCCAGGAAGTAGTGCAACCCAACATGAATGGCAAACCAGGGACCAGCACCTCCAAGAGTTCGAAGAAATCTGATAAAGTGATGCTGATCGACACGGATGATGAGTTCTAGTGCCCCGTCTGTCCTGATCTATCTATTTATTTAATCGATGAAACAAATTTGACTCTTTAGAACTTTAATGAGGACCCTAATCATGTAAATCAGCTCATGATTTTTTATTTTTTTTATTTTAAAGAGAGCTCAATAAAGGGATCTGAACCGTTTCCTGACAAGTAGACAACGCCAAGCAGGGGTTGTTTTGTTTTCCTCGTCATAGTCCTGGAGCTCATCCTTTCCTGATCCTCCGTAGTGGCAGATGATCCAGCCTCATGATGGAGAGTCCCCTTCTCTTCTCTGACCCGTTCTGAAGCATGGCGGATAAACATGAGGCACAGGGAGCTGTTCAGATGGAATGAATCGGAGACCGACGCTTTAGGGAGCCATTCTTGCATCTGGTCGTTTGAAGTATTTGCTCAGCAGCCCTCTGCTGGGTCTCCTGATGAATTGAACTGGTTCTCCGAGATGCCCTGGCTTTGGAGATCGCACTTCAAACTGTTGTCTGCTGCTCTTTGAAACCTTTGTATCAATCATGCCACTCTGAGCACTGCCCCCACTTGATTTGGAGGTTCATTAATTTTCACACCAGGCCTTCAAAGAGTGTGAGATCTGATGCAAAAATGCAAGTCTCAGCCATCATGGTGTATTTTAATTGCAAATCGTTTGTATTCAAGAATTATTTGATTGGTTAAAGCTTTAACCTGTGACAAGTGTATAATGGCACAGGTGTTACCGGGGCATGTTAATTTGTTAATGTTAAATTATGTTGTTTGGTTCTCGTTTAAAGGCGGTTTGCCTAAATTGTTTGTAAACAGTCCAACATGAAATGTAATTTAGTTAATTATCAGACAAAGCTATTGAAATTGTTTTTTTTTACTACAACTTACCACAAAGTAAGTCCTGGTCAGTACTTTCTAAACAGTTTAAAGTCTTGTCTTTTAAAGTTTCTGAGCGCACCCTGTTTTGTCTTGATAAAGAATTGTTTTCAAAATGTTTGTTGATGTATTTGTAAATCTACTCCTGTAGTTCATTTGATCACATTTTGCAAATATTATCTTCAAAGATGTGGACTTCAAAATGAAACAACCTATGTTTTGTGATTCAGAGTTGCTCTCTTCACTTTATAGACAAAATAAGTTGACTTGTTTTGTCTATAATGTAGCCATGTATGTCATCTTTTTTAAATGAATGTTAAGAGGAAGCATTATGCGCGTATGACTTGTGCCAATGATTGCTGCCTTATAACTGTGGATGATGAAGTGGTGTGTGTGTGTGTATGTGTGTATAGTATATTGTGTGAATCAGAGTATGATCTATAAACAGATACTGATATTTTCGCTACCTGTACAGTTGGTTTTGACGACAAAATCTGTTCTCATAGGAAATAAATGATGAAAGGGAGTGGATTTTTTTTCTCTCAAGACTTGTGAATCAAACGAGGTTACATGAGAAAAGCTTTATTTAAAAGTACAAAACAAACACTGCAGACTTTGTACAGGAATAATTTACAACATCAAATTTAGCCAGAATGCAAAAAAATGAAGGATTTCATTTGTACATGAGGGTAGCTAATTAAAAAGAAAACCGAAGAATGTAAATAAAATAATTTAGATGTTGAAAATAAAAAACAAAAAATAAATATCAAAGATCAATGTGATACAAGCAGATTAATGATGAGAATCACGAATATGATTAATCTAAGCCTATTTTTGCTGCCTTTCATGGTGTCCGTATTTACAATTGCTAATTTATAACACAATTATGCCTACTAGACCTATCAAACAGGCAAATCTGTGGTTGCACATGGAAATAAGATTTTACAAACAACCACGCCCATTCATACAGTACTTAAATGATGACAATCTCAATGTTAAAGGCACTATTTTAACTACAAGTAACATGACTACTTCCCCCAATACCTTACAGTTTCATCTTAACATTGACAAATATAAAGTAATAATTTGGAGCAGCATACTTTATATGTCATGGAGTTTCTCTAAGATTTTTATAGGCAAGTGTGTTTTAAAGAGCATTGGTTAAAATTCCTATGTGCGTTCATGGTATGGCGTAAATAGCTTTTAAGGACTGACTGAGCACATATTATATACTTTGAAAAACAGATAAATTCATATGTAAAATATAGAATAATTTATCCTATTCAGCCCAAAAGGCCACATACAGCATACATATAATTTAAAAAAAAGACAGAAAAAGTACCCACTTAGTTTAAAGACCATTTTCACCATCTAACTGTGTTAGAAGGAACGTTTACTGCACAAAACTGCTTCAAAATAGGGAAATGTCTACAGGCTTCAGTCACAAGATGACCTGTAATGCCTCTGTCAGTACTGATCTTGTTTTTAATCTAATTGAATCTACACAAATAACTACAACGAACTGGCCAAAAACACTGGCATCCCTGTAAAATTACAGAATAGTTCTGTGATGCCATGTTCGGTTCTTATTAGTCTGAATTAGGGCATTACGATCTAGTTACTAGAGGGTGTATTATTATTTAACTCACAATAAAAATATTAGTAAAAGAATAGAAACGAAGTGAACTTTAAAGAAAGTGCACAGATGGGTTATGGCTTTGGTGGCAGCTGAAATGAACAATAAAGCAAAACAGCAGTGCCTCAATAGTCCAAGAAATGATAGCTCTTGGTGTCATCAGCATTCGATCACAGCATTTTGAAAAACAGAAAAAAACAAATCACCACCAGATGTCAGTGTAAAGCACAGAAAGAGCCATTTTGTCAATTTCTCTAAAAAAAAAAAATAGTATACTTGTATACTCGTCACTGTAATTTCATAAAGAAGTGACACATTGCACTTCCTACCAAGGGAAGTAAATTCTGATAAATTCTAATATTATGTAATGTATTAAGTCTTAGAGGAACACATGGAACACAACACAACACAAATTGGCCACAACATGACGAATGGAAAATTCCTGGGTTTTTTCACTCTAAAAGGCTTTTGTGGCCTAAAGGGAAAGCATATACAGCTATTTAAAAACCCATAGGTCCAGAAAAGAGGATCTGCCAACCAGAGCTGTGGTCACATTTAAAAGAACTGCACAGGACGCTTTCACAAACTGAGGTTTGAAATGCTGACTGTAGGACCAAAAACAATGGCAAATAAATGATGAATACTGAAATGACGTGTTCTTAAAATCTGCACTCTTAAAATAAAGATCCACAATATCATCTGAACACTACCATACAGCATAAAACTAAGTGTGTTGAGTTTATGTACTGACATAAATATAGGAATTGAGAATGGGGCTTTCTTCTATTGGACATCTGAACTAAAATCAGTTAAATAAACCACTGATATTAAAAAAGAAGCACAACAATCACACCACTCTGAAGGTATTTCATGTCCTGGATACATATAAAAACAATGGGAAACATCAGATCTAGATTATGTTTGGCGATAAAGAAACATAAAACACTTGTGGAGATATAAAAATGCTAAGAGCACAACAGGACCCCAGAGATTTGGGGCAAACAGTGGGCTTCCCAGCAGCACAACACCCCTCTAATGCTTCCTGCAGTGGTGGAAGGGCTCACACGAACAGTCATAGCCACTTAGGTAAGAGACAATCCTGATTTCAGCCATCTTCAGTTTAATGACAGATTCGTTCAACCAAATACAGACGGTGTGTTAATGTTTTAGGGATGAATGTTTGAGCTGGTTTCAGGACACCAGGATTCTCCTTACCCAAAGTGTCTGTGTCGAAATATCAAATATTTGCATTTTATGTACATTTTAATCAGGGTTACCAACACCGGCAGTGGCACCTTTTGTGACTTAGCAGTAGGAATGCTTTCGGAGCGGACGGAATTTTCTATACGAAGTTGGGAGCTTAACTTTGACATTATTTTTTTTTAAGCTTAAGGCTGTTAACTCAGTTCTGTAATATACAGGTTATAACTGAACTGCATTTTTTTGTTTTGCCAAGACAGCTCCTGGTATCACAATATCCAATATGGATTACCTACCATTTTATGGTGTCATATAGACAGGTCAGGAAAAACGGTATATATAACTGACAACACAGATGTGCCGCTTGGATGTTATCATCAACACGTTACACTTTGAGGATAATTAACTTTATACTAACTAACCTCTCATAAAACAAATGCAACAATAAAAAAGCCTCCATGAAGTGCGCTTTCCTAGAAACTCAGTTACTCTGTAATTTCAGTCTTGAATATTCACATACGTCAGTCTGCTATGCAAGTGCTTCATAGTATTATACTGTAATTCAACAGTTAAAATAAGTGCCGTTTTCCCATTTGGGATTCCTATGTTTAAACTGCTGACTAAGAGAGGATTGGCTCATTTCCCATTGGATAATATGCATTGTTTATCAGTAATGTAACGCTTCAGGATAAGGATTTGCCCTTGATGTCGATAACATCATTCTCAACTTTGGACTGTGTTGGTCACCTGATTTTTGACCAGGATCAGAATCGCTGGTCTTTCACAATGATTGGTAGTAATGTATTATGAGTTTATGCCAACGTATTTCATGATGCAAGATGACAGCATCACATAAACCGTGTCAAAAAACTGTTCCTGTTCAAAAGTTTGGGGTCGGTAAGAATTCTTATGCTTTTGCTCAGCAAGGCTACATCTATTTGATCAAAAATACAGTAATTTTTATTTCACATAGTGGAATATTATTACAATTGAAAATAATTTCTGTTTTAATATACTTTATGGTTCCTGTGATGCAAAGCTGAATTTTCAGAATGTTCCGCGTCACACGATCCTTCAGAAATCATTCTAATTTGCTGCTCAAGAAACATTTCTTACAATCATCAATGTTGAAAACAGTTGTGCTGATTAATATTTTTGTGGAAACCAGGAATTTCAGGATTCTTTTGATGAATACTGTCTTTCCTGTTACGTACGATCAATTGTGACCCTGGAGCACAAAAGCAGTCATAAAGTAGCACGGGTATATTTGTAGCAATAGCCAACAATACATTGTATGGGTGAAAATTACAGATTTTTATTTTATGCCAAAAATCATTAGGATATTAAGTAAAGATCATGCTCCATGAAGATATTTTGTAAATTTCCTAGCATAAATATATCAAAACTTAATTTTTGATTAGTGATATGCATTGCTAATAACTTAATTTAGACAACTTTAAAGGCGATTTTTTTCAATATTTTGATTTTTTTCCAGATTTTCAAATAGTTGTATCTCAGCCAAATATTGTCCTATACAAACCATACACCAACGGAAAGCTTATTTATTCAACTTTCAGATTATCTGTAAATGTCAATTAAAAAAAAAAAAGGACCCTTATGACTGGTTTTGTGGTCCAGGGTCACAATTTAATGTGTCCTTGATGAATAAAAGTATTATTTTTTTTAAAGAAAAATGTACTGTCCCCAAACTTTTGAACGGTAGTGTATGTTTACAATATTAATATGAATAAATATTTACGTCCTATAATGATACATTATTCATTTTCGTTTCTGGTGCATATGCAATAAGTCACGGGCATCATAGCTGTCGAACCAGTGCTGCCATGGCAGGTTAAGTCAAGTACTATCTCACACTTTAACAAGTGCTCATCTCTGCTAAGTCTCAGCCTGTGGTGAAGTTGAAAGAGCGGTCAATGTGCCCTGCCGGTGCCGGAGGTTATAGCACAGTGCACAGACAATATAGATGTGTTTTTGTATGTATGTGTGTTTTGTGAGTGTGTAAAAGAGAGAGAAGTGAAAAAAATAGATGCAGCCTGTTGTAGTCACGCAGGTTAAGGCCTCCACCCTCCCCTCAGTCTGACCACTGAGCTTCCTCTCAGTGTGGGTCGAGCGGAGGCCCGCGGGCCAGTCTAGGTTCAGAGCCGGATTGGACCAGAAGGAGTTGGGCAGGCGCTGTCAATCAGCACTACGAGGGCGCCGAAAACGGGGCGGAGCTGGCGCTGTGATGGGCAGACTTGACAATAGTGATGACGCTGGTGGTGGCCACCTTACCGGGAGGCCCGCGCGTGACAGTCCGGGCAAAGCACTGCAGGGCCTCGTACTTAGCACGAAGCGCATCCAGCTCCAGTCGCATGCTGGCGTTTTCACGAGCCAGTTTGTCCACTTCTTGTTGCAGCTCTGTTTTTTGACGTTCAAGCTCCTCTTTCTGCGTGACGCGCTTGATGCGGCAGCTGGCAGCGTAACCGCGGTTCTTTAGTGTGCGCCGCCGCTGCTTCAGTCGGACCATGTCTTCCTTTGTCAGCCCGCGGAGGTGCTGGTTGAGCTCCCGCACCGACATGGCCACCAGCTCGTCATCACTGAGCGCCGGGGCATTCTCACCCACCTCCTTCTTGACCTGAACCACACAACAGAGAGTTTCGGCAAATTACCATCATTTTTTCACCTTGCAATTCAACAGAGAAACAAAAAGGTTTTTAATCAGATAATAAATATACTACAGTTCAATAATACTTATTAATATTCATGAAGGATGCATTAAATTAATCAAAAGTGACAGTAAAGGTCACTATAATGTTACAAAAGATTTCTATTTCAAAAATATTCTGTTCTTTAGAGCTTACTATTAATCAAGGAATCCTGAAAAAAAAAAGTTAACAACAATATGAAGGAGCACAACTGATTTTAACACTGGTAATAATAAGAAATGTTTCTCATGCAGCAAATCAGGACATTAGAATGATTTCTGAAGGATCACGTGACACTGAAGACTGGAGTAATGATGCTGAAAATTCAGCTTTGCATCACAGGAATAAATTACATTTTAAGATATATTACTATAGAAAACAGTTGTTTTTACCATAAAATTATCTCACAATAATACTGTTTTTACAGTATTCAAAAAAAAAAAAACAGCCTTACAAACCCCAAACTTTTGAACAGTAGAACAGTATGATAATTTTCAAAATCTCCCACACAGTTACAATTAACAATATATACAGACAATTAAAAATAAATAAATATATATATATATATAATAGAAAGAGAAATAATAAATATATAATTAAATATAGTAGATGACTAAAAATTATTACGTTTATTAAACAGACTACTCCAAAAATATGGTGCAAAATTTGTGCCGTACAAAGGAGCATCCATATAAGGTGGATGAGAATAAATTTTCTTACCTCTTACAGGTTGAGATAATGAACATTCCAGATAATAATAGTTCAGATAATAGTTACTAATTATATCACATCTATGAATCACAGGGAAAAGTTATTACCTTTAAAGCTTTGTCCGCTTTAACATGAGTCGTCATGCCCTGCATACAAGCAGCTAGTCAGAACTCCTCAAAAATCTGTCTAAAGAAAATAAAAGAAAGGAATTAACATATTATATAAATGTGTAAAATGTATAAAAGATCTTACTATTAAGGAACTTTTTTGTGCTTGCACGTGTCAGTCTCAGTCAGAGAACCTATGTCAGGGTACACTGCATTAAAACCAAGCAATAATAATAAAAAAATAATACAGTCTATGATTAAAACTGCTGAGTTAAATGAAGTTACCTCGAGCAACCAGCAGAGGTCATTACAACTCTGCACAATATCAGTGAGACAAGGGTTACCCTGTTTACTTGCTGATCTCGCGTTCTCACGATGTAGCTCACTAGACCGTTACAAGAGTGCAATAATAGAAACAGGTCAGCTCTCGGCATGAGGCTTTGTCTGATCTCTCTGCTTAGCCGTTCATGCAAGGCTATTTTGGCCACTGCGCTATTTTTAAAAAGGCCACTCTGTGCGTTCGAACTCACGGCCTCGAGAATTACTTTGAAGCACAGATACCCCATGTTCCAACTTCCGCAGTCTATTTCTCCGGTCCAGTCATCTGGCCTTCAACCCTCTGTATATCTCAACCATTTTAAGTGATTGCTTTGTCTTGGTGAGAAATCTTTAGTAATGGTTACATTAAGTATCTTTGACCAGTGAGCAGATTCACTGCCTTTGGCATGTTTGGTAAATTCTGAGTCATTCTTTTGATTCGGTCTTAGTAAACCACACCGGACGTGCATCAGTTTCTGGTTTAAATGTTTCAGTTATGACGGGACAAAAGAGTATAGATTGGGTATGAACTGAGCAGCTGAAACCAAATACCACCATGAAAGAAAAAAAAAAATCACTTAAGGCTTGATTCGTACCATCTGGCCCTTGATGTGAGGGCTACATTAAGGGCCCCTCAACTCATTTGGCTACAATCAAACTGGCAACCAGAAAACTATGCAATATCGCTTTATATTTGAAAAATGAAAGCATAAGTGAAACTGCAATGGCACTCATTGAAATAATTAATTGAATCACAACTAATTGAATATAAAATCTGCACTGTGCCATGCATGTTCATCTAAAGCTGTGCAACAAACAACGTACGACAAGCTCTGACAAGAAGAGTTTTCCTAGACAGCTAGTTGGCTCAGCATGGCTGATTTTAAAATGGCTGTGACGGGGAGACCCTGCCTTTCTTTCCAACTAGGACCATGGAATCACATTTTTTTTTTAAATGCGTCCCTCTCCATTCATGGGGCCTCCAGGCTTTCAGGTCTTTCACACACACACACACACACACACACTTCCTTGAAATTCCTTCAGCACATGGTCCCCCTTTCCATTTGTGCTGAGAACTGGGGTGAACTGACAGGGTGCCCCTCTTTCCTGCTCAGCTCTCACAGAGAGGAAAAGCCCAATTGTCCCAAGGCCAGAGCCGGGGATTCATAGTTTCCTGGACATAAATTATAGGACTGAATGCCGCCTTTGATGCTAAACATTTGATAGTCCATATGAACAATAGTCTTCTTATCATGGATTCTAAGGCCAGGAAACAAAAACAAAAAAATGAATTCATGTTACAACACAAGGCCCTGTGAAGAAAGCCACAAAGAGTGTGTAAAGTGAGGATAACTGAGAGACATTCCACATACACTGACATTGAGAAGGGGCCCCACTTTCATTCAGAGAACTGCATACTTAATACTATGCATAATAATTTTACTACATGACTGCAATCATCTAAATATATCCAGATTCACTCCATGTTATATTTAGTGTCACTTGTTGCAGTGTGCTAACAGCAACAACACTTAAATAATAAATGGAAATGGCATATAAATGCATGTGATTAGTTTATAGTCATTGAGATGTGTAAATTTTCCAAATCGCTAAAATGTAATATTATTCATAATAAAATAATTTATGATTAATAATGTACATAATCTCATATTTAATGTGTAATGTACATTATAAATATTTTACAATATTTAAATATTTAGCACTAATCGCTAAACCACAAGCTTTAACAATTTTAAATAGTGGTACTGTGCAACATACTGTTAAAGAATTAAATTAAATTAAATAATAAAACAACAAGTAAGTGTATAACACTATCAGAAAAATAAATGTGCTAAATTTTTACTTTATATTAGTACCTAATGTGAAGCCTTAAGCAATACAACTATGAACCTTTTAGGGGTAAATAATGCAGAAAGATCACCATTTGTGGGTACGGTCCCAGCAGAAAGCCCAAATTTGTTCACATATGCACTAAAATTGTATAAAACAAGTCATGTCGCTAAATTTCACTACTTAATACTTAAGCTACAATTACATCATCCGACGGATGTAAGGGACAACAAAAACAAAACTGCAGACCTCTCTAACAGAGACAGATTACTGTGGTAGAGTTGCCATATTATTTCACATCAACCATATACTGGTTTGTCCAATTAGAGCTGTGCTTACACAACAGCATGCCTGATTTGCGTTTGCTGTAATATGTGGGCGCATGCAGAACTGAAAGTATTCAGTGATCACAAGGTGAAGCTGTTCAGACATGTCACTGGCATCACATGGACATTGGTCACGATATTAAGCGCATCAACAACCTTTCTGTCGCACTTCAAGGGTCAGCCTTTATTGCACATTAGTGTTAACTCATGATTTGGCAGTTGTAGGTTACAGTGGAAAGGATTGTCTGCATCAAGGTGCTCCGCCAAACATCGCAATCATTTTCCACGAACTACAAACCATGATGTAAACTACTTTGGCGTCACATAACTTACGTTTCAAGTAATTACTTACATGACATCTGATCCCAATAAACCCAACGAGGCGGATTATTACTGACTAAACCTCTGGCCCGCACGGATAACGTCTGCTAAAGCACTGCATGCTCTGGCTGATACAGGGATGACGTTCTTTCTAGGCTCCCTGAGCAATATGGCTGGGTAACCGCATATTTGGGTCTTAAGATTGTGAACTTTCTCAGAAACAGCCCTCAAAGGACCTCCCCTCTTATGGAATTTGACGCCAGCGTTGCCATGTTAACACATGTGAGAATGTGAGATTCTCTTGTTTTGACCACTTATGAAAGGTAGAGACTTGAGACATGGCCTTGGGCAAAGCCAAACACCACTTCAAAGTCATGTGTGCTTGTGTTCCCATGATAAATGGCTTGTCTTTGCAGTTTGTTTTTTCTCATTTGCTCCACTAGTTAAGCAGTGAACAGATAGGCCGCTCCGCTTGGCGGCCAGCTGCTACGTTCCTGCGCGAGCGAGCCGCTCTCGGTTTTTCACAGGGAGGTGGAGAGCTCCGTCTCCTTTGGTCCCGGCCCACTCTTTTCCACAGCAGCGCATTCGCAGGGATATTATGTAAAGGAAATGGAGAGCATAGCATAGTCGTGAGTCACGCTGTTTACTGGTAAGAGCGAGGACGATCGGCAGGGAATCACACCCTCCCGAACTGACGTTTCCTGGAAAATCCTGTTGTTTCGCAGGAGCGGAAGGAAAAGTACGTGGAACCTTGGGAACGGTTGGCGGGGCCGCCGGAACTTTCTGCGGACTAGGAGGAGAGGTAGCGAGAGCAAAGCTCCTTTCCAACTGGGGACGCAGGGATTCAAAGGAATGTCAAGTATGCGCTAACCAAAGACAAACCCGCCCAGTATGTACGACAGGGAAGCCAGTGCAACGTGGTTAATAAGTGAAGAACAACAAGCACAGTTCTGCACTGGAAAATCATGACATGACCAACTTGGTTTTAACCAACAACACTCACTTATCTTAACTCGTATCTGATGTAACATAGGTCCTCCACCCTCATGCCATCAAACGTCTACGCTTAACTAATGGTCTACAGCAAACAATACAAGCTGGAGGATTGCGCAATGCGGCATCAACACATCATAGGCATAAACATCCAGTTACTCAAGCTCTTGAGAAATAAGTACCAGACAGCTCTTCCACAGACCTGACCACAGTGTGATGAAGTCAGTCCCGTCCGATCCAGAAACTGGAAAAGGGCAACAAGAAAAGGGCAGGGTGTTGCTTTGTGGTCTAGACACCCAATAGGTCAATAAAGTCTTATACACGGATCAATAACATGTCGCTAATTTTTCTTTTGTCTGAATCTGTTCATTTATTCAACGATACATTAAAAATGTTGTAGCCTTGTGGGCAGCCATTGTTTCCTGTTTCTCTTCCTACTGTCTTATGCATACAACTTTATAAAAACATTAAAAGGCAATTTATACATACAATGACTTTATAATAATAATAACCTGTTCTATAGTAAACATGTTAAATTTCTGAAATAAAATTCTATTAGATATTTTGGGTGGCAAAAAGTAAAAAATATCAGGATGGCCTTATTAAAAGGATGAAATAATTGAAAAGAAAATATTTTAATAAATAATTGAAAATTAGTTTAGTATGATCTTTTATTATTATTTATTAGAAAATAAAATATAATGAAATATTTATATAAATGATATAAAATATTTCAAATTGTTAGAATATTTCTAATTAAATTTCTGTTAAAACACAAGAAAAAGAAAACAGGAAGTGATATCATAGAGAGGACCCCTCATGACTGTGTCATGAGGTCAACAAGTCTCTATGTCAGATAATTTGACCTTTTTAATGACACGGCAACACTAGTTTAAGTTTAAAAAAAAAAAAGTCATGCGGTACAAACACCCCCAAAATGTAATGATATTTATGAATCAATTCTATGACTTTTTAAACATTTAAAAAAAAAAATTATATACACACACACACAAATACATACACACAGACATACATATATATATATATATATATATAAAATTATAAAAATCATTCAGTTTAAACTTTTGGTAAAAATAGTCTAAGAGCCAAACCCTATGAAACCAACATTTCTAAAAGCTTGACACATTTCCCAATTCTGGCAATGGCCAGATCAAACACACTCTGGCTCATTATTTACCTGCAATATTTCAAGTGACAACACAGTGACCTTGCATTTCTCGCAGAAACCCATTCAAATCAATAAGACTTTGATTCATGATGACTGGTGATAATGTCGCAGACTAGGTCAAGACGTGCTGCTCAGAGAGAAAGCAACGAGTGCGCTTGACGTGAGATTGGGTTTGGAGTTCCCCTGTGTTTCATTTTGAGTCATTAACTCACCAACTACCGCTGTCTCATTCACTTTCAAAACCCACTGTCCTAACCACAAAGAGTACTGTAAAGAGTTCCTGTTCTCCAAATGCACCATCTAAACCACAGGATTTATTTCTCCAGTGAGATTCTAGACTACGCTGTCTTTAGAGGTGTGAGATACTCGATGCTACAACAATAATCGTGAACTAAAATTGACATCATGTGATTAACATTATACTGATGGTAAACTGTTTACTCATAGAGCATCGCTTAGTGACGAGACACGAGTGCCTGCCCCCTTCTAGTGATCCCACGTGTGTGTCTCATGACAGCGCAGTGTGTGCAGTTCACTTCCCCTGAGTTTCTAAATGCAAGATGTGGGAGGCCATCGCCACAGATACCTCAGCAACTCTGAGTCAGACTACCTCTCAGACGAGGTCACACAACCCCGCATACAGTATGAATAAGGAGACATGACAAGGTTGTCCTCCTCCATGATTTTCCATAGAGATCAAGATGGGACAAAGGTCATGACAGAACCCAGTATTTGCTCTATTCTCTGTGTCATCTTCCGCAATACGCTCTTAAACCAAACGTAATCTGACCTCAGCAACTGTTTGGGTGTAATGACAGGCACTCAATGCAGTTTCCCCTTAGCTCTGCTCACAGAACTCTTCCTGGGCAATGACTGGTGCGGATCTAGCAGCCTCAACAACTGATCTTCTGCTGACTCTGGAAAAACTAAGCCAAATTATCAGATTGGAACACAGCAGCCCCTCACAAGTGGATGGTGGCCTTTTTATATTCTCCAGGGTGTTAAATCAACACCTGTCACCAGCCAAATGCAGATATTGTTTTACACAGTGGTGGATAGATATTTTTGCTCATACCAGTCGCTGTGGCGGAGGATGTATAGAATGTCTCCAAATGCTGTTACATACAAAAAGAGCGATGCACACATTCGATTTTATTTTGAGGAACAGATGAAAGACATGCTTTCAGTGTGCATGCCTGATTTTCTGTTCGTCATGCATGCTGTGCAAGGGCTTTCCATATACCACACGTGAATTTCCATACCTTACACCCGAAAGATTTTGCCTTACATGTAAACACTCTAAATTAATCATCTTAAGAGGTGCTTCGGGTACGATTCACTTTAAATCTGTGGTGTGGTTGTTACACATTGAGAAAAAAACTCACATATTCATAATCCTCCATAACAAATCATTAGCTTTAACTTACAACTACTGTAAGTATATCCAATTTGATCCACACAGTACACTATCATCATTATGCCACAATATATAAACTATATAACAAATCTCAACTGCTTGATTGTTTATATCATCATCACATGTAAACTATACTGTCATCTAGCTCTAAACTCCTAAAAACGGACAATTAGGTATTAACATTATGAAATTCTGTAAAGCTGTTTTGAAACAATGTGCATTATTAAAAGCACTGTAAATAAGTTTACCTGACTTGATTCACTTCTATCAATGTACATTCAAAGCTCTCGAAATTGACGTGAAACATTTCGTAATTCCAAATATTTGTGGCTGTACAAAGTCCTACACAACATAACACCATTTGGGGTTAAAGGTGAATTACAAAAAGTGGAATAACGTGACATAAATATACATTTTTGGTCCATTTAAAAAGGCTTTGCATATTTGTTTAATATCAAATATATACAGTTATTTTACTTATTCAATGATCCACTGTGAGTAATAGGCAACAAGTTAATTTCCCACCCTGACTGTCCTTAAATTGTCACATTACACACCGAATGGAGTCCAACGTACTCTGTTTGAGCACAGGACATGCATTCTTCTAATTACAACGAACGGACTTCACTTTGATGTGGTTTTATCACATTATAATTTGATTCAGAACTGCTATTTTATCATCCATTGTGGAAATGAATCACATTATCCAGTTATGACTCATTTTTCCTGTGAGGGCGTTGCTCTAGTGCTAACCTGCCAGAATAGAGTGGACACAATCATTCTTAAACAATGTGTTCATAGATATTTCCAATCACCTACACATCACAAACTCATATCTACATTCCATTCCACATGTGCCCTTCATACAAAATTGTGAGAATATTCAATCGCTAGCTTGTTATTAAGTCATATAAAGTGTCCTAGGGTTTAGTAGACACGTTGAAGGTGACACATGCTCCTTTATTATGATAGTTTATATTTTAAACTATCACTTGTTTTTGCACTGCGCAACGAAAAATCGCCGCTAACAAAGACATGAGGGCAAGTAAGCCTTTTATAGAAGATACAGTGCATTCTTTAAGTAATAATCATCACGCGGTGCGCGTGCTCTGAGAATCCGACATAACGTCACCCTATTCTTGAACCCTCGTGTTGATTAAAGAGCGCGAGAAAACCGAATCTTTCCGCGCGCGACTCGGATGACTCGGGATCGTTATAACAATCGTTCCATCGCTTTAAAACTTCCAATAGTGCTCCAGACACAAATATGCCCTTTGTCCCAGAATTCATAAATGCCCACCACGTGTTATTTCCTTGTGTCGTAATATTAATTCTTTTGAAACATGCCCGCTGTGAAAAGCGACAAAAGTTGGAATCGAATCGCCAAATTGCTTCAAAAGTTACAAGACGCAGTTGTTTACTTAGTTAAAGATGCGATACACTTACGTATTCCGTTTAAAATGTAGCAAACTTCCAATGTACGCAACATTAAAGACTGTCAGTGAGAGTAGTATTTTTATAAAAGCGGTCGTTTATATAAAAGCAAAAAAAAAACCAAAACGTATTTGTAGGCTGAATTCCAAGTTGCAACCTTTAACACGTGCCCAGACCAGACCGATACATTTTTGTTTTTATAATCAAATAGTTCAACTATTACATAACTACTTATGTTTCATCTTTAAAATGAATGTAAATCCTTATTGAACTTTATCATTTTAGAGAAGAATGTATTACGCTACGCATCGATCGACTACACAAATATTACGGATAGACTGAATTCTTATCCGTCATCAGCAATTTCGAGAGGAATTTCAAAACATCTCCCAGAAAAGCTCGCACACTGTACCTTGTGAACGGGATGCGCAGAATGTCTGAGAAGTGTCCTGGAATCAACAGGTCGAGCCTTGCCTCGCGTCCTGCAACCGAAGCGAAATGTTTCCCTGAACTAAATTAACTACAAAACAACAACAATGTATCAACATTCCACTCTGTGCTTCCGCAAGCACTGACGTCACCGCCCCCTCCATTCATGAAAATAACTTTATGCTGACGTCAGTCAGGCGGGAAACCAGGGGAGGCCAGAAATAGACGCAACTGAATACTTTGGGAAGGTTTGTTGTATTTATCGCTAAAATTGAGCATTTGTGGGTCAAATTATGTGTACAAGAAGCGAAAAGTTATTTTAGCACACGGTGGAATTATCTTGAGCTAGACATTGACAAAAGGTCACTTTATTGCAAGCCAGTGCCCTAAAATATAGCTGTGGTATGACATGACGGTTATGAGAACTCGTACACCCATTTATATATGTTTCTGGTCTTTCTGTAACGTCAGTGTTTATCAAAACATTCTATAATGCACATGTCAGTGAAGGGAATCCAAAGCGCCCTCTGTCTGCCATAAAAGACTCTGCTTTACAGTTGTTGAAAATAAGCATATATGAAGCAGTTGCAAACACCTTCTGTGCTCTTGCGTCCACATGGAAGGGGACCGCTGTGTCAACGTGACAGTGAGATTCTAGTTGATTTGAATAATTTAATGCATATATCTACATAGCCCGTGTTTTTTTTTGAAGAAAATAACAATGTAGATCCTACATGCACAACATTGTTTTCTGTGGGGCAGGTTAAGCATCATTGATTTTTTATTTTTTTTAATTAGTTTTTATTTTTATATTTTCTGTTTTCATTTTAACGTTAAAGTTTCAGTAATTTTTTGTGTGTTTTTGTTATTTTTATTAGTTTTTTATATATATAAAAAAAAAACATTTATTTTATTTCAAGGAGTAATAAACAAGGAGTGTTGCCTTTAATTTTTTATACTTTATTTTATTTTAATGACATTTTACAGTATTTCATGTAACAAAAAATATTTTATGGTTTTAGTTTGAGTTTTAGTTAACTATAATCTATAATAACCCTGCTGTGGGGAAAATGCAAAGGACATAATGATTTATTCATATTTAATTAATTGTTATATATATATATATATATATTCATTTATTTTTGTATAAATTATGTGGACTTTTCTCTCACTTTCTCTACCAGAGTGACTCAGCACAAACACATTCACTCTCCAAGAAAGCATATGGGTTTAATATCAGTGCTTGGGCTTCTTTATTTTCTTTATCATCTTTATTTTTTCATGCCCAGAATTCTGGGTGGCATTTAATTTATTCTATGATCTGTATCATCAGTATTGAATTTTAACGTAAGACAACTGAAAACATATTGAAAAATTGAAAAAACTGAAAAATTTGCATTTTGCATTATTTGCATAATGTTTGCATTAAATCTTGTGTGTGTGTGTGAGAGAGAGAGAGTGTGTGTGTGTGTGTGTGTATTTATTCTCACAACATAGTGCACAACATAATTTCTAAAAATTGTTAAGAAATCTTTAATACAAAGTAAAAGATCTTCAAGTAATTTAAAAAAACGAATAATTAAAGTTTGATGAAAATCATTCTCCATTATAAATACTCACGGACAGGTGAAAAATATCACTTTACCAAAACTCCCACACCTGATCTTTGGAGCATTCTTATGGCAGCAAAGCATCTATATACACACCTCAAAAGAGAAAAAGACAAATGTAGCTCATATAACATAAAAGAAGTGATGGACTCCCATTCTGCTTCCCATGGGATTCCTGTGGGACTTGTGGGAAAACACCATGTAAAAAAAAAATAAAAAGAGGAGAAATCTTGAAACACATCCTCATGTTCTTAAGATCATGCCGGCTTAAGCCAAACATTAGACAGACCTGTCTTAATCTTCCAAGACTAAAAATATGTTTAAACTATGTTTAGTTTTTATGGCACTTTACCCATATTGTATATCATTTCTGATACTATAAAAATCCTGATGATTTCTTTAATTAAAAGTGCCTGAAATACTTTTTTTTTTTTTTTTAAATACAGAAAATGTCATCATTTTTGCAGGTTTCAAATTTCCCCTGTGACACTGGATTTATATTTGGAATAGTGACAAGTGTGCCAACATCATAAAAATATGGTTAATATGAAAAACACTTTATATAACAAGTGGGCAGTTTGGTGTGGCAAATGGGTAAGTAATAAGTCGTCTTGTTTATTGACTTAGTCAAAACATTACTAATTAGGGAATATTCTTTTGCAAGTCCATCACAACTGAAATACTCAGCAACTCTGCCTTGTAGTTTAGGGAAACAGATGGGATATTTTGTTCCACTCGCAACATTTTAGAAGTGGCATGCATATTTCATATCTGGAAGGCTTTCAGAAGTAGCCATTCATTGTTCCTGTCAGAGAAGTATGTTTTCAACAATACTTACAGCAACTGTAACCAGGCACTGTATGCACATATGCATATTTTTTTCTCCGTAGAGGTCGGATTGCAAGCACATGTTGTTTTTGCTGAGTACCTTACAGTGTGTGTTCTCTGCGGTGTTCTTTTCTGGGTGAAAGTTCTGTTTTCTTTTGTCTGGCAGGCACAGTAATGTCTGTTTCCATGTCTGACATCATTTTCAAAGTGAAGATTCTTGGAAACATTATTCCTTGTAGTCCCCAAACGCCTCATAGCAACAGTGCCACCCAGAGACATCGAATCACCCTGAGTATAAGTGGTTTAAGCGAAAGATAATATATGATTCTGTGGTTGTTTACATAGTCAGGGATGAAAAATCTATGATATTGCCCTAAAATGAGATAAATAGGCTAAATGAACATGTAGGCTGCGTGTTTTCTGACTTCATCAGTAAGATTCAAGATAAGTGACGTGACATGTGGCCAAGTATGGTGACCCGTACTTGGAATTAGTGCTCTGCATTTAACCCATCCAAAGTGCACACACACACCGTGAACACACACACACCGTGAACACACACCCGGAGCAGTGGGCAGCCATTTATGCTGCGGCACCCGGGGAGCAGTTGGGGGTTCGGTGCCTTGCTCAAGGGCACCTCAGTCGTGGTATTGAAGGTGGGAGAGAGCGCTGTACATTCACTCCCCCCACCTACAATCCCTGCCGGTACGAGACTCGAACCCGCAACCTTTGGGTTACGAGTCTGACTCTAACCATTAGGCCACGACTTCCCCAAACGCATCTATAAGCATCTATTAATGCACAGATGACAATGATGTTATAAAAAAATCCTGATCTATGTATCATGACTTACTGTAATTAATATTACTCGTATATGAATGTTTTTTTTTTTCTTTTTTTCTGATGTCTGGTTTTCTTTCGGTTATCCGTTTGGCCGCTGAGTCAGGCTCCAGTGCTGTAGATGGCGCTGTCGCACTCTCAGGAAACTCTGCCACTGCTGCTGCATAAGTAGAAACACAGGACACGGCAAATCATGTAGCAGCGCCTTTGATAAACTAAGGTAGTTTATAAATATTCTCTTCATGTTATATACTTACTATGTCCGTATATTAAATATATTTTACTGTTAGCACTAGGTGGTATTTTTAAAAAAAAGTATATTTCTGCTAATGTTCGATGTTTCTTTTTTTTTTTTTTGCTAATACAGTAACTTACCTGCCAAAATGTTTCTAGACTCAAAGACCAGATAACGTTACAGTTTGTAAACAGTACAGAAGACACTGCAATAAGAGTTATTAAAGGCAATAAATATCGCTTTATTAACACTGCACAGCATGATGAATTAGTCAGTTTTCTTAGTATAACAATATTCAGCTCCAAATAACATTAGGCCATATCAACAAACGGCGCAGCTTGTATAGTTTACCTGCATGCAGATTTTGTTTGTTTGCATGATATGATTGTAATTCCTCTAATATAAATAAAAGCTTGTGGCGTTTATGTCTTATACAGTTACAGTAAGTTGGAACTTGTGGGAATTGTCAAAATGAATCGACCAAAGCCAACAAGCATTAGGCGACCTAGTAACACCAAACCATCAGGTAAGATTTTAGCTGTGGTTATGGCAAAGAAATCGATGAATTAACCCTGTATACTCCTCAAATCCGTCTTTATCATCCTGCGATGTCCCTCAGGTCACCCACCTCCAGGAGATTTCATTGCTCTTGGAGCGAAGAGTCAGAGCAGTGAGCCGAAAGCAAACCCAGCTCTCTTGAAGCCAGCGTCCACCGGTTTGCCCCCAGACCGCAAGAGAGAGGCGTCTTCATCTCTTCCCTCTTCCTCCAGCCTGTCCAGTCTTTCCAAACGGCCCAAGCATTCTTCTCCTCCACCCAGTGCCCTCTCACGCCTCGCTGAGGCGGCTGCTGTAGACAAAAGATCAATATCCCCCTCCATCAAAGAGCCATCTGTAGTTCCTATTGAAGGTGAGATTAGCAAGCTTTTTTAATCACAGAAAACTTCCATCCAATTTAGGGATTTATAATACCTGTGTTTTAATAGTTGATACCAATGGCAGTGAAATCCATAATTACTGATACCAACTTTGAATCCACAGCAAAAACTAAATATAGAAAGTAACAAACAAACTTTTTTTTTTTTAATAAAAAAAGTAAAGTATAAATATGAACAATTTAAAACGGTGAGATGCAGCCTTAAATTATTTTTCAGTTAAATAAATATTGCTTTTTCATTATTGTTTTGTTTTTTTTCACATCGTGTTTATTTAAAGAACAATGAAATGATTCAAAATATTACATTTATAAAACAACAGTATTATGTATTCTCTTTTGAAAAAAGTGTGCTTAATTGTATTTTTAGTCTGCATCGAATGAAAATTCACCCCTAAACCTGCCTCTGCAAGCTCACGTTCCCAATCCAATCAACAATCCAATGCATAGAACAAAGTCCCAACCTACATTTTCTTTGTTTTCCACTAAGCTGTTATACTTGGATGTATGTCACAATACGGAAGAAATTATCTGTCGTTACTTCTGTTTCGATGCTACTTTAATGTGCACTTGACTGTGCTTCTTATTACACTTAATTGCACTTTTTAAAGTCAAATTAAAGTTTAACTTTTTTTTTAAAGTTCATTGTTTAATAATCTTCTGTCATGCTTTAAAGAAGCACACTTA